CTTTTGGTGTCTCCCAGCAGAGCTGGGCAGCACCCTCTAGTGGGATCTCCATCCCCTAAAACCACAGGCGTGTGGAGGGAGGATGAGGATGTGCAGCTCCTTCACCCACTAGCGACTTGGGAGTCCACTCAGGTCTGCTCACGCAGGAGGGTGAAGGTCCCTGCACCATCAGGACCTGCTCCAGAGGGGTGAGGGATAGCGGCGGAGATACCAAATGGGCTGGTCTATCAATCACAGAGCAAAAATAGGTTCTCCATGCGGCCGCAGCCGGCTGCCCGCTCTCCATCAGATGGGAAATGGAACCAGAGACCAGAGCAGAGCACCCGGGGCTGCGCCGGGGTTGAAGGAGCACCCAGGGCTGCGCCAGGGCTGAAGGAGCACCCAGGGCTGTGCCGGGGCTGAAGGAGCCCCCTGAGCCCCAGGGCCAGGGCCAGGGCTACCCCCCGTGCAGAGCAGGGGACTGGCCACGCTGCCTCCGGGATAGATTTTCCCACATTCTGCAGCTTCCCCGCATCCCCCTGCACGTTTCCTTTCTGGCTGCAAAGCAAGAAACCCGGAGGAATCGAAAATCACCTTACAGGCATTTGCCATGAAAGACCATGGGGCAAAAGACCTCCCCACACCTCCCCATAGCAAACCAGCGCCTGATTTATTCTCTCCACCGGCAGCAAAGGCTGGGCGCTGTGCTCCCACCGTGCTGCTCTCTTTTCCTGTGCTAGGCCAGCAGGTACCTGGACGTGATCTTCCAGAGAAGAGGCTGCCCATGGCTGGGTGACGGCCACCCATCCCAGCCCTCCTGGGTTATCTGTAGATAAATAAAAAAGATAAAACTTCAGATTGGTTTTTGTAAACCAGGGAGCCGTTTGTCCAACCCGAACCCCGAGGCAGCACGTCCCCCAGGGCACTGGTCTGTGGCCCCAGAAGATGTTGCTCAGTGGTTCCTAATGCTTTACTTCTCCCTTTGCAGTGGCCTTTCGTTCCCAAGCCGCAGGGCTGAGCGTTGCCGCCACATCGACCGACAAATAACTGCTGGAGACTTTATGGGATGTAGAACAGAACAAATGGCCTCTCCTAAAATATTTTCTTTCTTTCATAAATCTTGGTTATGCTGCTCTATCCTTCCCAGGCAGATGAAACTGCTCTGAACCCAGCTGAAAATGCTGGTTTGCTGGTTTGGGTTTTTTTCCCTTTAATCCCACATGTAATTCCTCCGTGGGAAAGGTGCAGGGCAGAGCTGCGCCAGGCACCGGGCGCCTTTGCAGGGCCAGCCCCGGGCAGGGCAGCGGGCCGAGTGGAGACCTGCTTTTCTGGGTCTGGACAGCCATATCCCACCCAGACACAGCTACCTGCAGCCAACATCTCAGGGAGCAGGGACAGAATCGGAAAGAGA